TTGGTGTTCAGTTGTTTGCCGAGCTTGGCAATTGTATTGCAAACGTTTCATCACCAATCGAGGTGACATTCTCAATGCAGTAACTGCAGTTACTGCAGTTACGGCGAACAACTGAACACCAAGTTATACTACCCGAGCTACAAAAACAACAATGAACACCGTTGCTTACAAAACTGTCATATATATATATATATATCTGAGGCGTGAACTAAAAAGCTAGGAAACACTGGACAGCTGTTTCGACCTGGTTTGGTCTCATCATTAGTGCAAATCCATCGACCCAATTAGGGCTCGAACCCGGGATCTCCCGACAGAACTCAAGCATGCTACCCACTTAGCCACTGGGCAGCTGACCAGACCGTTTTTCATTTTCTATTTACACAGTATAGCACAACCCATATTTGCGAGCTTGTTGCGGGCCACAGACCCAACTAGGTCGAAACAGCTGTCCAACGCTCCGTAGCTTTTCAGTTCAAGCTTCATTTGCTATATACACGACAAATACACTTCTGAAATTGAACCAACTCCTCCATTACTCACTTGAAATATATACATGCGTTCAGACTATGTGCCAAACAACTCGCGGTATAATAATGTTTATAAAAGGAAAACAGGTCCGTGATTTGCTCGTGGGCGCTATACTGCCAGGTCACCCAGATTTAGGCAGGTTAATTTTCTTGGGGAATTCACAGCCATAACCTTCGGCTAACCAAAACCTGACCCGCAAGACAGTGGGGCGGTATGTGAAAACCGCAATCCATTGGGGGCCGGTGTACAGTTAATCGGATAATATACTCTTTGGAAGAGGTCGAACGTTCGAGGTGCCCGATACCCATTCGAGCCGCTGACCACTACCACGAACTGGAAGGTCTGTGGTTTGTACGCCTCTTGTTTGGTGTGGAATGATGCTTTTTGCCAACTCTTANGTTGGAAAACCGCCCTGAAAAGGCAGTGAGTAGGTCTTCCTCAGCGAAATCTATTTGAGACGGTTGGTCGTATGAAAGCATTTCATGAAGGAGGGGCGACCGGCCGCAACCCGAGACAACCATACCCGACCATACTGAGGCTTTCGGAATCGCGTAAAGCGATCATCATACCAATTTACACAGAATGTGATAGATCCTCTTGTTAAAACCACTGGGAAATTAATTTAATCGGTATTGTCTCTAAGGTTCCTGCTGGCATTATACTCCGTTGATTTTGTGCACTCATGAAAAATAGGCTGGCTGATTGAGGTTGTATGGACCACATCTTCACTCTCCATCGAATTCTAGAACACAGACATTCCTTCGTTAGACTCACCATTTTTATCTTCCTCGATCTGAAAGCAGCTTTCGACTCAGTCAACCGCTATAAACTCTATTGCTGCCTCTAAAGAATTTGCTCGAGAAGTTCATCACGATTTCGCTATCTATTTATCCCAACAGCCGAAACCGAGTCCAAGCTTACGACACTTTTTCGCCTCAGTTCACTACAGATCGTAATGTTCGTCAGGGTTGCCTTCTTCGTTTCTATTGAAGTTTGTCATGGGCGGTGGTAGCCCGGTGGTAACGTCACCAAATTATCACCCCGGAACACGTGTGTTCGAATCCCACCACCACCGCCTGACTGCCCATTGTGCGTTGCAAAGCAACCAATCGATTGGCCGCTTCCCCCTTGCAAATTGTATCATGATATATTCAATAAAAAGAAATAAGAACGAGAAATAAAAAAATTCTTGAAACAGGCCTGTTATCATGGAAGGAGAGTGGTATCGATTTACTTCCAGGTAACCGACAGTCTGATCTGGGGTATGCAAAGATCATTGTGCTGCTGGAGATCCAGGTAAGTTATGAGCTTTTCTGGATAGTTTGAGTGCTAGTGTAGCCATGTTCAATCTGCGTTTTGCAAGTTCAAAGTGCGATTGTTGCTACAAGATTGGATTGACCCAACCTCCAGGCTCACACTCAACTGGGGTGGTAGTAGAGAACTTGGACAAATGCTACTATTTGGGCAGCTATATCTCACCAGACGGATGTGTCACAGGTGAAGTGTCGTCAAAAATACATCAGGTTCGGTCATCATTTATCAACTTGAGACAAGTGGCTCTCTATGAAAGGTCGAGTGCATGTCGCGGCAGTTGGGCCAGTTCTGTTCTACAGTGCGGCGATTCGGCTATTACGGGAATAGGATAAAAATAGATTTTCGGTGTTCGAACACCGCTGTCTACGTCACATTGCACGAGTCGGACAGGGAAACCGTACAACCAATGCTGAGATAAATAGGTTTAGTTAGTCTCGGTCGTCCACTGTAACAAGTGGTCGACCTCCATAGACTATGGTGATTGGAACATTTATTGCGCATGTCACCACGGTGCGCAATTTTTTCCGATGCGGGACGCGTTTGGAATAAAGTCAAGGGCGGTTCAACTAAGGCCTGTCATAAAGTTATGAACACGCTAACCAAGAGATTGGGTCACCTAGGTGCCGTTAGGCTCCCTGGATGGTGACCCTGGGATCATAGTAATCGGTGGTTAGAAACACCTAGATAGGCTTGGTACACAATTTCGTGTGTTTCGTCGACTGCAGTAAATAATTTAGTTGTGTAGACAGGGATATATTTTTTTCCTACTCCATAGGGCTGGATTGCTCATTACTATCCTAACTTAAATCTAAGATTATTTTACTGGTAGAACACATTTCACCAATTTTCTTGGCAAAACTTTTGACTCACTATCGGTCAGTTCAGCGGTGCAGTACTGTCCTCTTTTCTTTTCTCTTTCTATCTTCGAGACTAATCGACTGACCGAAATGGTCTTCTTATCAAGTATGCCAATAATGTTACCGTGGGTTCCTTATTCCAAGGTAACTCCCGTTTCTCACAGCTTCAAACCAATTTATCTCCCTAAGCCTATGATCTTCGTATTCCAACTTATCTTTTATTACCTCTAAATGTGGGGATGCCACTTTCTCAGTAGCCAATGAAGAACGGCTACAGTCTTTTAAAAGAAACTATTCTGTACTCTATATCGGTCACCAGTCTGCTCTCTCATCACTTTCCGTGCAATACCTCCGTGTTATTATCTGCCGAGATCTCACATGAACTTCACTTTTCGACTCTACCTTTAAAAATATTCAACTATTATGTTTCTTTATTTTCCGCTTGTAATTTTTAAAAGTTCCACTGTGTTTGCTCACCTGTTTTGTATGTTCTTGTGTTGTCACTCATGTTCTTTACTGCTCCCCAGTTTTGTTTGCCGGTTTTAGATTTAAGGACTATGCAATTCTCCGCTGATCTGGTAAAATTATTTCATGCACAAGCGGCATTCCCTATTTACACTTGCTCAACTTTATTGCCGACATCACTCACCCATTACACACAAAGCCTAAATAATTTGTATCCATTTCCGTAACTGAATGTTGTAACAAACTTGATGATACTCGCATTACTGCCTACTGTTAGTCCATATCTTTCATGATTTCTGGCACAGAACGCACCCGTCAGAGACAAATTTAAAAAATCTTAGATAAATAATATATACTTTCGTGTTTTGACGCCACCGTCCTCATAAATTCACGACCCTGTATTTTGCTTTTTCTCTCGGACTGTATGCGATGATAGATAACATTGCTGTGCAAGGAGCTAAAAATCCATCCATTAGGATGAATAAAGCGATTCATGACCTATGAACATGGCTGGGTGTTGCAAACCATGGCGCTCGTGCATCCACTCGTTAATGTTGCAACCTTAGTCTTTATGAGTTATCCGTCTTCCCCTTGACTCTGCTCTCAGCATTCCTATCTTCATCCTACTCTTTTGTCCCAATGGGCAACCAAAACCGCCGCACGAAAGTGCACAGCTAAAGGTTGTAAAATCTGAAACTTCTATGGCTTATCATTATACTCATCAATACGTCATCCCTTTGGTCGATGACATCTAAAACTGAAGAAGGTAAAACGGTGTAATCAAAATATATTTACCATTGACGTTCATTGCCTAAAGGTGTGGCGGCCGTCACATGGTGATCTTACTTAAACTACAATGCGCCTCTAAATGTTTGACCCTGTCCCAAGGGCATATGATCCGGTTAACTGGACACGTACTCCCACACACCACACCACTGCCTTGCTATAGGGCTTTGGCTAACCGTGGGCTCCGGTTGTGAATCCCTAGAGAAAATTCACCTACTTTGGCTTGTGCACCCTGCCCACGAAGAGATCATGGACCGATTTCCCCGTTCTAAAGATTGTTGCACCGTGATGCCTTTGGCACACAGTGCAAATTCGGACACTTGATATAATAATACTAGTAATAACGCCTCCGATTTCAACAACAGCCTATTCTGAGCGAGGTTTTATAGACATACCGAAGTCAGATACTGTGTACATATGAAGGATGCACTTGATTGAAACAGGTTAAAATTCAGGTGGAACAACTCCAGGAAAACCAGAGTATTTATTTTTCCGGTTAAAATAATGTAATCGGATCGCTAGCTTGTAGGATGTTTTATTTTTATAGTATTTTTATTACTGAAAAATTTGACAACCCTCTCCATTTCTTTAGCTTGTTTCTCAGAAACACCAACCACGTCCGGTTTTCAGCGAAGGCCATCCATGGATGGAGCTGCTTTCCTTCCGTTAGAATCTACTGCTACTCCGGTTAGTCAAAAGCGATCATTTTCGTCTCCTTCACCTCGACATTGGTGCGGTCAGAGACGTGATAAGCGTTTTCTTCACGATCCCGGGTTCTCCCCATTTACCTGGATCAATGAACGCACTGCTGGAAACAGGCTCAACGATGAACGGATCCCCCTTAACGATGTCGACGTGGAGGACCGTTCCCGTTCTGAACCGTTGTTTTCGTATCCACGACCGAAAAAGTAAGGCAGTTTTACCGTTCTGCCCCGGTTAATTGTCGTATTGAACTATTACGATGAACGCTCAGAGTAAAATACGGTACTACTGTCTCAGTGGACAGACTACTAAGCCAGCGTCCACTGCTGCTACATTTCAACACCAGAAGATGTTATTCAGAGATATCGAAAGTTCGACCATTTTTCCCCTTGATTTTGGCGAGATTGTTTCCATGCATTTTTTGCTAGCTGTTGATAGTTGGAAGTGAAACCGGCACGAAAAATTCTGTTTTCACTTGACTGATTTGCCTCAATGATCTAGCTCGCTACACAGGCCGGCATTCTCCCAAAAGTTCTGACGTTGGTCTTCCTTTAATGAATCACCATCAAGTGGCTTGATCCTACACGAAGATCACTCCACTTTTTTAATTAATCTACGAAGAGCATTGGAAATGTACCACAATTTTTCGGCCGACCGCGTATCAGTTGAAAGTTTGCCTGTGAGAAGCCATGTGGGGGGGGGTAACGTCAGGACTAAAAATAAAAAAGTTCTCCAAGTGATTCGCCAAAACGGCGTCCAAAAATGATGCAGTCAGTTGATTTTCTCCTCCCGGCATGGATTATGGTTTGTGCAACTGTGCTTCTTTCTGGATTGCTGCTTCAGATCCCATTCTGACTGGTGACGGAGTACTTTCTCCGTACCTGTAACATGTTTATTCCGTGTCTAAAATCAGATTGGACAGTTAGGTGGTAATGTAACATTTTTTCAGGGATGAATGTCAACTTTCACTCTTCATTACAGATTCCATATCGTGGACAACCTCGGAATAAGTGATTGTCAAATTTTCTCGTGGTTTGTCTTCGTATCGGTAATAAATAGACCCATGTTCCTTCAGAGTTGCTCACCAAATGTTTCCCCATGATCGCTATCTTTCTCTACTTGGAAGCGGCTTTCGACTCAGTTGACCGCTCAGAACTCTGACGCTGCCTTTCCCTGAGGGATGTACCCGAGAAGTTTATTTCAATAATGCGATCCCTTTATACTAGTAGCCGAAGTTGAGTACGAGCTTACGGCACTTCTTCGACCGAGTTCACCACGGAAAGTGATGTTCCTCAGGGTCACCCTCTCTCCTTTTCTATTAACCTTTGGTATTTATCTGAATATGAAAACAGCTCTGTCGTCGTGCGAGGATAGTGGCATCAATTTGCTGCCAGGGGCAGACTGTCTGATCTGGAGTATGCGGACAACATTGTGCTACTAATTGAAGACACAGATAAGTTGCAGGCTTTTCTGGATAGCTCGGGCGCCAGCGTAGCCATGCTGGGTGTGCGTTTTGAATCTTCAAAGTGTAATATGTTGGTACAAAACTGGGTTGGTCCAGCACCCAGACTCACTCCAACTGAGAAAGTAATAGAGCATGTGGATAAATTTTTTTATTTGGTCAACTACATCTCGCCCAGTGGATGCATCACGGATGAAGTGTTAGCTCACATACCGAAGACTCAGTTGGCATTCGCCAACTTGAGACATCTGTGGCGCCGTCGCGACATCCGGCTGTCTGTGAAGGATCGAGTGTATGCCGTGCAGTTCGGGTATACGTCGCAGAAACTTGACTATGAAGAAAACAAAATAAAGATGGACTGTCGGTGTTTGAACACCGCTGTCTAGGCAGCAGTGCGGCAATCTGGTAGGGCAGTCGGCCGAGTAATGCTGAGGTTGGCCACCCACTGGAGCAAGTGGTTGACCTCCATAGATTACGTTGGCTGGGGCATGTGTTACGCATGTCGCGAAATAGGTTGTCACAGCTAGCGATGTTCGCCGAGGCAGGTAATGGGTGGAATAAAGCCAAGGGCAGTCAAGCTAAGACCTAGCACGGGTATGCAAGCCCTAACCAGGAGACTCGGCCACATGGGTCCCGTTAGGCTCCCTGGATCGTAACCCATGGCTAGAGACAGTAATATAGCTGAATATCGTAAACAATGGTGTTCGTGCATCGTTTCAATTTCTTTGCAACATTGTTCCACTGAAATTCTCCATTTTCTGTTCGATTCTGCCATCAACTTTCTTGTCTTTCTCCTACTGCTCATCCAAATGGGCAGTCGAAAGACAGCAACCAAAACCGGTTCACAAAGGTATATGGCTAATGTTTGTTCAAACTGAAACTGAAAACCAAATGTTTTTTTAATGTTATGCGAGTTGGTGTAGGTGGAACGATTGAAGTCGCCGTCAGTGGTGTGCTCTGTGCGTTAAGGTTCAAAGTTCTAATTCCTGCAGCACCCAACTGTAGTACGACTACAGTCAGACAGGTGTTGTATCACTTGGCTTATTACCACGCCTATGGTTTAGAAATTCATCTTTTCAAGTCCCCGAGTCTTGGTTATGGAACGGATGGCAGGTTCTCTTAACAGTAAGGTTTAGTCGTACCGTTCGTCACACGTGGACTGATAAATCACTAAATACCCAATGGGATTGGTCTGGCGTTAAGCTGAGTGATAGCGAACTGTCTAACCTCTGTATTTTATGAGGGTCCTGAGTATGTTAACCCTTTTCAGGGGTGAAGGTTGTGCTACCTTTCGATTAAGATAATTAATTTTCACTGAGGTGTATTTATTTCTAACCCAACCTTTGGTTGCTTTTCTTCCGTTTTTGATCACACTTTTCTGTCTCCTATGTTGCATTTTTGATTTCACACCATGATGCTAAAGTGAGACCACAGAAAAACAGGGATTTCCGACGTTTGTCCAAGTTGTGAACTGAGGATAGGTCCATTTCATGAATCACGTATGAAATTCACTGTTCAGTGGAAGGAGTTCGGTGATCATTTATGTCAAATGTATCTATAGCGCCCGTCATTCACCACCGATTGTGTACTACGCGTGAACAGCAGACCCACGAGGAGCAAGCTGGGTTTCGCGCTAGTCGTGGATGCATCGGTCAAATCTTCACTCTCCGACAGCTGTTAGAGCACCGTCATGCCTACCAAAAACCAACGATCATTGTATTCTTAGACATTCAACTCTGTCAATAGGACCGCACTATGGAACTGTTTGTTGAGAAATGGAGTGATTGAGAGGTATGTGTCGATCTTCAAGAAGCTGTATCATCATACCTCATGTCGGGTTAGGGTCTATGGCCAACCTTCATCACCCTTCGTCGTCTCCAGTGGAGTTCGACAAGGCTGCAGTATATCCCCTTTCCTTTTCAACTTCGCTATAGAGGA